ATAGTAAGCACTGCAATGAAGAGGGAGACTAAAATGATCTGGTCTTACAGTGGGCAGGTTTAATGAAAGACAATGTCTTCAAAGCACTGTGATTTAATGTAAATAGAAACACTTTTTCTGAACCACAATTATCATGAATGTAACTCAAACCTACATAATTTCCAAGTTATTCTTTCAGATCTAAATTAAGCTCTGTAAATGCCATATAAACTATTGCTGAAAATACTTCCAAACAATGGATTTGTACAAGAAACCTTTATGCAAGTCAGCAGGTATTCATCTGTGTTAACTTTTCTACTTGGAAGAACTTTTTTTTTCATGCTGGGCATTGAACCCAGGGGCTCCCCACTGATCTATATCCCCACCCCATCCTCCTTTTCCAAATTTTGAGCAGCAAATTTTTCTTGTTATCACTAAGTTCCCAGGCAAGGCTCAAATTGGAAGGATTTTAAAATGTAATTCCTTACATCAAAAGCTAACAAATAAATGAGAATTAACAGGTTACAATCAAAGTGAAACAAGTGTAAAAGTAAATGAACTGATTACAGAGCTGCAGGAGGGGTGTTCTCAAGGTGAATACTTTCTTATTACTCCGTGGCCTCAGAAGGAAGAAGCGTGGCAACTGCTGGGGTCTGCAGTACTCTTCTGTGCTTGCCAGTTAGTACAGCATCTTTTGGCTCTTGGGCTGGGTGTTGATGTTACGTAACATAAACATGCTTATGTAAGGGGAACTGTGCTAGTTGCTGATCAACACCTTCAGAGCATACATGTTTTGTTTTCTATACTAAATACTGCTTCAATCAATTTGTACAACCACTTGAAAGCTGTCTGAAAAGTGCCATTGAAGCTCATAGTGTGGCGGTGCATTTATTTTATGTCCTTTAACTGCATTACCTCTTAATGTTACATGGATCTATCTATATTATGATAAAGCTCTAATGGTGTATGCTTATGGGACACCTAACTGATGCTTCTTCCTTTGTCTAAAACAAAGTTACCCATCCTGTTATGAAAGGTATAACATATTTCCTTACTGGCATTGCACTTGGAATTGATTGCCTGGAAGCTCCCTTTCTCTAGTCCTTTTTCCCCAGAAAGGCCCAGATGCATCCAAGTTGCCTTGAAGAACCTTAACTCTGGCCGGGCCTGGTAGCACATGCCTGTACTCTCAGCTTCTCAGGTGGCTGAGGCAGGAGGATAGCAAGTTTGAGCACAATCTAACCAATTTAGTGAGACCCTATCTCAAAATTAAAAAGAAAAATGCCTGAAGCATTGTTCAGTAACAGACTGCCCCTGTATTCTATCTCCAGTACTGAAAAAAGAAGAAAAAAAAGATTAGCTATGGATTTGAATCTAAGTTCCCCTTCTTACTAACTTTGCAACTTAGAAGAAGTTACTTCATACTATTTCCTCATATGTAAAATGTAGATAATAGTACCTATCTCAAAAACTTAAGTGGATTAACAATCTACAATTGACTACTAACGATAGCCTCTTATTTATATTTTTTGCTTTCAGTCTGTTACAAGGACAGATTATGAAAAAAGAAAATAACCAAGTAGAACACATTGCTAGCAGTCTTGATGTTGGTGAGAAAATATTTTATTTCTAATGCCTTCTTAAATTACATAAAAATTTAATTTATTTAAGCGTGTAGAAGTTATTTCAATAAACATCTCATTTCAGTGGACAAAACATGTTGATTTAATTACATTCTGTTCATTACATTGATGAGGTTGGATTGTGGCCATATAGTTGTGAGGCTAACTGAAGATGCCACACTCACAATGGACAGAGGAGAGCACCAGTAGTATACAGTTACATGTACTCTGCCTATGGGAGAAAGACAGTGTATGTCATGCAGGCTTGTACCCAGGAGCACAGGAGGAACACTGCACAGTAGGAGCTGTGGGAGGCAGGCTTTAGAGTACTGAGAGGGTTTAGTGTCTGCTGCTTCCTGTGGAGGATGTGACTGGCTCCCTCGAATAATTCTGCAAGCTAGCCAGGATCAGGAACTGCCTGTGGTGCCCTGGATAAGGAAGGTTATTCGTCTAGCAGACCTTATCCATGGGAGCAGAGCAGAGAGGGAAAATTTCAGTCAGATATTGAAGGCTCTCCTGAGGACACCATGTTAAGGCAGCACACAATACTGGCCAAATTCTAGGACTTACATCAACACAATGAGCTGCTCATTTTCTTAGTGTGTAAATTATAGCATAGGAATGTGCTAAAGGTGACCATATGTCTCAGTTACTTTCTTGATATTGGGACACTATACCCAATACCCACAGCTCTAAGGAGAAGAGGTTTATTTTGGCTCACAGCTTGTAGAAGTTTCAGTCTATAGTAGACTGGCTCCAAGGCAGGGCAGCATGGCAGGGGAGAAATAGCTCATGGTATGACAGATAGGAAGCAGAAAGAGGGATCAAGGGAAGCGGGAAGGAGATAGACTCTTCTGGGCCACACCCCAGTGACCCACCTCCTCCAACCAGGTTTCACCTCCCAAGCCACATTAGCTATGAACTCAACAGTGGATGAATTCACTTATAAGCATCATGCCACCACAATCCAATCACCTCCCAAAAGCCCCACCTATGAACGCATGAGGTTTTAGGGAGGCATGTAGTTATAAGCCATAGCACCATATTTTGCTAAAAGATTAAAAAAAAAAAACCCGCTATACACTACACAAGGCTGAGACTTGATACTGCTGAGGAAGAAGCAATTATTTGTTTAAGGCAATAAAAGATTTGTAGTTTTTTCCTAAAATATGTTTGTCATTCTACTCCTACAATCTACTTCCCAGTTTTGTAGTGTGTTACTATGGATATGATTATGATTAAGAGGAGAAGATAGGCTTATCTGTCACTCAGTATAGATCCTCTGTCAATGCAGAAAGATTTGTAATTTCCTTATGTACTGTTCACCTACCATTTCACAACATTCCCTCTGCTGTTGTTGAAAACCGATTTTATTTTCTTACATGTTTTTGGCATATGTATTTATACTTGTATTTCACAATATTATAAAGCCCTGGAAAGTTGGCGGAAGCTTTACACTTTGCACAGGTTATCATCAGAAGGATAAGAATAAACAGGGCCTTCTCTCTTCTCCACCACATTCCCTCTCCCTCTGGAAGAAACGTCAAATGGGGACTCAACCATACAATGGTGCACCAGTAGTGATGCCATAGTTTAGATCTAAAATGTCCCCCCAGTTCGCATGTGTGTGATAGACGATAGGAACATGGGGAGCTGTGCTCATCGGTGGATTCCTCCATTGATGAGTTGAGTAGCTAAATGTGCCATTAGGATGTGGGTCCTTGTTTGAGGTAGGTCCTTTAAAGTGTGAGCCTCAAACGGTGTATATTCTTGTCTCTACCTCCTCCATTCTCTCTCTGCTTCCTGACTGTCATGGGTTGAACACCTTTTCCTCCACCATGCCCTTCTGCCATCCTGTTTCTGGCTTGGAGCCTGCTGACCATGGGACTAACGCCATGAGCCAAAACAAACTTCTCCTATAAGTTGTGGTTGTCAGGAATTTTGTTCCAGAAACCACAAAGTGACTAAGACAATTAGCTAGAAATACTAAGGTAACTCTCTATGTAACATTATAAAAACCATGTGTGTAAGAAATGGAAAAGTTTGACTAACAAGGCCCCTAAAACAATGTAGAGCACATAGTAATTTGTTGATGAATCTAAGCCTACTATAGGTGTGATTAAAACGAACCAGTGCATAGACCACAGAGATGAGCATGCTTCCTTGTTGACTGCAAGGTCAGTTCTTCAACTGAACCATGTACCAGTGTTAGACTTGAATTCAGATCTTGGATCATCTTTATCAGAATCACCTAAGACAGTTCCACTCTGAGACATCCTGCTTCACTTGGCCAACGTCCAAGAATTGGCATTTTAGAAATGCACTCCAGATGCTTCTTAGACGCACTACAGTTTAAGAATCATCGGGGGAAATAACAAAATGTATGCATTTTGGAGAAATGGAAGGGAAGATATATTCTTCTGCCAGCCAGCAGAGGCCCATTGCATCACTCTGCCACTCCAGTGTGGATGCAGGGGTTTCTTTATAGACTGCAGACTACTTTTTCTCATTATCATGTACAGCTCAACTTCATCATGAAAAGACATATGCCTTTGAATTGTGTTTTACAGGCTTGTTTTATTCTGCTTTGTCTTTCATTATTAGGATGTATTTTGTTTATTTTTATTTACTTAAATTTAAGGGTAGTTAAACTGGCTATACAGCTTTGTCTCCAAGCTCTGACTCCATAGATTTCAAAGTTATATTCCTCGCCACCAAGCTACATTCTGATGACTGCATGGTAGCCGTCTGGGAAGAGACCAGCAGCTCCTGCTGACACACTGTATACATGCTTGGGGGCAAGGACGTGGTTGCAACCACATGCTGCAACTGCATGCAGACCCTCTGAGGACATTTGCCATGGACTTAGTGGTTCTGCTTCTTCCTGGTGCTGTATTTACTTTCCCTGAGTCTGAAGATCTCTGCAGCCATCCTGATTGTCATAGGGGATAAACAAGGTTTTCCATGAGCTAAAACACTTTCTTTAGCATCTGAAGGGGGCAGAGCTGAAGGTGATAGATCATCAAAGTGGCTGGTGCCAAGCTTCAGGTGGGTCAGTCTGTCTATGTCATGTACATGCCTGGCTTCACAAACTCCAGTGAAGCCTTCAAGGTCATTGTGGCCTCTTCCCTGGGCATCTCTAACACTTCTGGCCAGGTCAGCAGTGTGGCATCAGATATTGCCAGGCAAGGCCCACAGTAACCATTCACATGGTATATATGTGGATCATATTCCCTCTTTTGCTAATCTCTGTAAACTTACTTTCAAAGATCACCGTGTATTTGAATACGGTATATCCTTCCCACAGTTGTCATTGCAGTGTCCCCAGGAAGGCACTTATCGAACATACCCATTGCATGCTTTTCCTCACATGGCAACATATTTGGCGCTTGTACCTACCTTTTATCAAGATGGCACTTTGTAGCTCCTCCACACTTCCCAGACCACATCTCACAAGCTGCTCCACATTCCCAAGTCCCTCTAGCACTGTGGGTGAGCTGAGTTCCTGTATTGGCCCACTGTTTGCCCCAGAGCAACCCAGGGGACACCTAGGAAAGAATGGGGGTGCTACTTGCCGGTCACACAGCCCTTGATGCCAGCTCAAGTGATCAGGGCTCAGAGATGAGGGGCTCAGCAGTAATCCGCTTTTCCATTCTCAACCTCATCTGAAATATGAAACTTCTCTCTGGAGCCCCACCTAAACTACCCCTCTGCTGCCTATTGTGACCTATTGTCACCACACTGCTTTTTGTTTATGTCACCTAACAACTGGCCCTCATGGCAGCGTCAACACAGTAACACTTCAAAGGAGTCTGGTCACCCTGTAGAGGACTTGGGTAGGAAGGAGGGAGGTGGGGCGCGCGCGCGTGCATGCGTGCGTGCCTGTGTGTGTGGATACCAGCTCCACAGGGAATGATTCACCCCTTATCAAAAGCCAAGGAAGTGTTTGTTCAGATTACAGTTTCTCTAAACTGAAAAGGACTTTAGAAATGATCTATAAAGCCCCTTATCACACATAGACTTGGAGAAATTATCTCATGGTGTACAGAATCAAGGTGGCTTATCTCCAGGTAATCTGATTTGGGGTATTACTGTATAAACATAGTCTTGACGGTTGCCAATTTTTCTATGCATTTAAAGGGCTCTATTTTTTTCATATAAACATCAAACAAGTTTGACTAATCATATAAAGATTCCCAAATGTTCTTTTAAGCAAGTTGTTATGTAAATATACAGTGAGGAAAACTTCCTAAACTCAGCTATTGCTGGCTGTATTTGAGCTATTGAGTTATATTTGGAGTCAGATGGCTGGCCTACATCAAATTTAGGGGGAAATGAAATTACAGATCTTTAGTTAAAATGCCTGGGGCTGCTCAGAATGGTTTGATCTAAATCTGGAAACCATTTTCTATGGGAGAGGCTTTGGTCGATGTAACAGGGGACAATGATATAGTAACACATGGATTAATAAATCCTATAAAGCCAAAAGGCACTTAAAGCAAAATTGGCTTGGGAATAAATGTGTTCATGGGAATCTTTGGCCCTCTTTCCCCTCACTGGATTAGAAGATAAGAAATAAGAATCAGAGTCAGAAGTCTTGGGTTCAGAATTTTCACAAAGACTAGGCTTAGAATCCAATTATAGTAGTGCTGGGAGTTCTGGGGCACTGACCATTATGAACTGGTCAGTTTTAGAGAGGGAAGAGTCTTCACAAACTTACAGATTCCTTTGTTTCACATTTTGCTTAGACCTCTCTGGTCAGGTATTTCTGTTGTACAGCCTTTTATTTAGTTTGTGTTTGTGTTTGGTATCATAAAGGAGTTGATGGGATTAAATAGAAACATAAGAAAATGAGAACCATCCCACTGTGTTAATTCTTGGTGTTTTTTTCTTGATAGATAATTCCTAGTGTTTTTTTCTTGATAGAAATGTCAAAGGATGGATCATGGAAAGGCATCATTGTCTTTCTTGATTAACTTAAACCTCAGCAAAACCTGGCTTCTCTTTGCAGTATTTTGTATTTTTCATTCTTAAATTTGTCCAAAAGCCTATAATATATTTTATTAATTTTGTAATGAACAGTTGTTACGGTCTAAGTGTGAGTGATCCTCCATTCTTGTGCTGAAACATATATATGTAATAGTATTAAGAAGCAGGGTTTTAGGAGATGATTAGGTCACAGATGGAGCCCTTATAAATGGAATTAGTGGTCTTACAAAAGAACCTTGGAAGAGGTTCCCCTTCCCTTTCACCGTGTGAGAATACAGCAACAAGGAGCCATGTATAGAGACAAAGTCTTCTCCAGACACCAAATCTGATCACACTTTGAATCTGGACTTCTCAATGTCTAGAACAGTGAGCAATAAATTTCTGTTATTTATAAATCACCCAGATATCTAAGATATTTTTGTTATAACAGTCTGAAAGAACTGACTGAGACATTAGTGTTCCATGCTACATCAAAGAGTCCATCTTGTTGCTTAAGTATAAGTTTGAAAGAATATCTCTCATCTAGCTACTTCAGAATTGGAAAAGAGATATGCATGTTTCTATCTGGTCTAAGGCCCTAAACAAGCCTGGTCTGAAGCGTATTCTATACACTAGTTGAAAATTATCTGTATTATTTGACTTGATGGATTACGTATCTTGCTTGTTTTCCAGTCTCAACTTTCTCAACCACTGGCCTAGTTGCTTATTCTATCATTTGACCTTTTCTTGACTCTCTGATGTGTACATTTTCATCTCATGAGAAACTGTTATAATTTGGGTCTTGAGCATTCCTCGGAGACCCCTCTGTTAATGACTTGGTTGCTGAGGTGGTGGAACCTTTGGGAGGTGGAGCCTGGCACAAAGCTCCTACTTGATTGGCAGGTGCCCTTGAAGGGAACTGTGGGATTCCAGGCCCCTTCTCTTCCTCTTTCGTTTATTGTCCATGAGGCGAGTATTTTTGCTTTGTCACATGCTGCTGTCATGATGTGCTGTCTAGGGGCAGACCCAGTGCCACACGGCCAACATATTAGGTTCTAGAACCTCCAAAACTGAGCCAAATACACCTTTTCTCTTTACAAGTGATTATCTCAGGTACCTGTTAACAGTGGTAGAAAGCAAACGTGAACTCTTCTGTGATGTAAAGTTACCATCTTTCCTTTATTTGGCATTGAACTTTTGGACCATTTGGGGATACAGAGCATCTGGGTGAACCCAGTTACAGATGACTTCCTACTTAATGTGCTTGATCTTCCCCTTCATCAAACTCTCTCCCTATCCAACTAACCAACTCTAATCTTTCAGACAGAATTGGACTCGTATGTCACTCATTATTTTATGAATTGCAACCCTGAATTCTTTATGATTTACCTAATAGCTCATATTCTTAAAATGTGCCAGATAAAATTGTACTATGTGCCCTTATCCTTTAAGCTAGGGGACAGAACAACCAAGTCGTATGATCTTGGGATATATAAATGAGACAAAATCATGTGGGTGGAAGACAGTGGCAGTTTAGTTTCCTTGGTATTGGTCATTCAACTGGGCTGATATTACATTATTTCTACTTATCTCTGAAATATTGTTATCCTATTAGTGTCTTTCCTGGAAAACCATCTTAGAGCTTACAGTCCACACCTCCAATTCTACAGGCTTCATTCTCCCCATTCCTTGTGTCATAAGAGACCATAGCCATCATGTGCAAAAGTCCACTGTATTAGTCAGCTTTCCCATTGGTGCACACAATACCTGATGCCTACAAATTAAAGGAAGAGAGGTTTCATTTGGCTGATTTTTTAAGGGGATTCTGTCCATGCTCAACTGACTCCGAGCTAGAAACATCATGATGGAAAGATGTTGTGGAGCAAAGCTTCTTAATGCATGGCAGTCAGGAAACTGAGCAGAAGAGTAACACCAGAAAGAGGGGGCCAGAACCAGGCAGAGTCCCCAAGTCATATCACCTTGATCCACCTAGACACATGCAGAAGTGGGCTCCACCAATCCCCTAGATTGCTCCCAAGCCAGTCAAGTTGAAATGATCAAGTTCAACTGCCACACTGAGCATCCAAGCAAACATGTTTCTGGGTGTAGCACTAAGGCCCCTGCCTCAATCTTTCATTCAACAACGTTTTAATTCTGTTACGTTCTTGTGCAATTTATATTCTTTGGGAGAGATAAACAAGATAACATAAATAAAACACAGACCATTTCAGTGAGAGGTGCTAAAGATAAAAAGGGGGAGGAGATAAGGAGTCCAGACAGGTCACATATGCAGGCCACAGAGGAGGCAACATATGCTAAAAAGCCTTAAAGAAAGAGGAAGGTAGTCTTGAAGATGTCTATTGGAAAAATATCCCAGAAGAGGGGACAGAAAGGGCAAAAGCCCTGAGCAGGCCAGTGTGCATGGAGAGGAGAGAAGACGGGAGACCGGCTAGAGATGAGGTTAAAGAGGTTGGGAGTGGGGAGCACATAAAGTTCTGATGGGCTTTTCTTCTGAGCGAATGACTAGGAAAGGAATGCTGTGTTTAGGGAAGCTTGTAATTTACGTTCTAAGATGATGCCTCTGGTTTCTGTGTCAATAACAGAAGGAAAGGGTACAAGGCCAGACAAGGAGGCCAGTGGAAGGCTGTTGTGAGGGGCCAGCATCCAGGTGAGAGATGCTAGCCCAGAAGGTAAGGGTGGTGGCAGGGGAAAGATGATCGGGGTCAGATTCTGTCTATGTTTTGAAGGCAGAACCAAGAGGATTTTCTGGCAGACCAGGTAGGATGTGAAAGAGAAGAGTTGAGGATGACTCCAAGATTTTTTAACCCAGTAAACAGTCTCAAATCTTAAAGACCGTGTTTAAGAAATATTTCACTTGAGTCATTTGTGGGAAAATAGATGCACCTTCAAGCTATGTTAAATGAACTAAATCTGACACACAAGCTTAAATATGAGAAACCCAAATTATAAATGAAGAGCAAAATAAAAGATAGATAATAAGAAATAGGGAGAGCTTTCTCAAATGGGAAGGAGGACAAGAGAAGGAGGGCGTGGGGAGGGAGGAGAGGGAAAGGGGATGAAAAAGGAATTAAAATGTGTTACATACGTGTATCAACTCCACACAGGGAATATAAATATTGCATATGGCAAACATGCACTAATAAAAATAAAACTTTAAAAAAGCATGTCAATAATAATGCCAGAGTCTTTGTTCAAATTGTTAATGGTTTCTTTACTTTTCTTAATTTATATAAACATATACACATATACTTTTTTCTAAATATAATTTTTATATCTGTTTCTACTTGCAAAATTATTTCTTCTATGCAAATAATACCAAAACTGCTTGAATTTTAGGACTGGGATGCTGATGGCTTGGGCCAGGGTGGTGGTTGGGCATATAGGGTGGGAAGACAGTAAGAAGAGTCAATTCAGGATATATTCTAAAAGTGGACCCAAAAGGATTCCTTGGAATAGCAGATGGAAAGTATGGAAGACAAAGCGAATGTCTCTATCCATTGAGTTGGTACTCCAAAGTACCATAGACTTAGTGGCAACTGATAAATGTTAATTTCTCACAGATGTGGCAGTTGGAAGTCTGAAATCATAGTCAGGTTCTGCTAAAGGCTCTCTTCTAAGATGCAGACTGCCAACTTTTTGTTTCCTCTTGTAACAGAAAGAGACTGAGCTAGCTCTCTGGCCTCCCTCTTGTAAAGGGCTCCACCCTCCTGAGTTTATTACCTCCCCAAAACTCCACCTCCTCTTAATACCATCACATGGGAGATTGGATTTCAAAATATGAATTTGAAGAGAATGC